TAATTCCATTTTAAAATTAAAACCTTTTTTATATATATAATTAAAATATTAAAAAAATTAAAACCTTTTTTTATAATTAAAATATTAAAAAATTAAAATCTTTTCGTAAGGAACTCCTGATGTTTGATGTTTGTCGTGTCATGTACCATTTTATTACTTTTCTTTCTTTTGGCATTTCATGTGCATGCTCGAGGTTGAGATGTGCTTGTGGTGGCCACAGCCCCACACTATTTTTCTCCCTCACTTCATTCTAAGTGTCATTACATATTTTCATATTCTTCATGTTTTCAGAAATATTTCTTTGTTTCTTTATACCCTCTGCCTTTATTACTTTTCTTATTTCTGTACCTTAATTATTCCTCCATATAATGATTTGTCATATTTTCACATTTTTTTACAGTTTTATCCTTCCGAAGGATTAGGTCCAGCCTTTTGGCCGCCGAGTCAATAGTCTTACCCCTTTAATGGATCAAACCCTGTTTAGCCTAGGTGTCCCGCCGTGGGCAAAATTGCTTTTATCCTAGTGTTAGACCAAAAGAGTCGCCGTACTCTGTTTTAAGGTTTTCCGCCGCGGAATCCCTAACCTAACCCTAATGCACTTAACAATTTATAACATAGAGATCGGAGTTTAAGACTCCATGTAAGCGTGTCCTTAAGATGCGTTTATTCCCCTTGAGACCTTGACCACAATCAAGAAGTCTCTAACCTCCCTTTTGAGGGGAAAAAATTTTGTTCTTTTTATAATATTTTTGATTTTAGGAATCAATAGGATTATTAGTTTTTATTTTAAGTTTATTTTAATTATTTTAAATTATTTAAATTTTATTTTTTCTTAACTAATTATTTAGTTTGGGCTTTAAAATGAGCTTTAGGGACATTATTGACAATTTGGTGTTAACCCTAATTTGTTCCCTATATATACATGTGTTGCCTTGTTGAAAAAAAAAAAGAAAGGCGGTCGTTCCCACAACTCGTCAGAAGGATTGGAGCTCTCCAGTGTTCCCTTATTCAAACCTTTTTCACATTTATCGAAGCAAACCTCCGCTTCGTAGGTTAAATTACTAAATCTTTTGCCTTTTCATGTTTATGTGCATATTTTGCCATGTTAATGTGTTTAGGTCCGTTAAATTATTAAACCTTTTGCTTTTTCATGTTTATATGCATATTTTGCCATGTTAATCTCCATGTGTGTTTAGGTCCGTAGATTTTAATATCAAAACCCTTTTTTATCAAAACCTTTTTTAAAATCAAAACCTTTTTTTTATTTATTATTAAAACCTTTTTTTAGTAAGACCCTTTTTTAAAAACTGAAAAACCTTTTTGTTCCCAAGAAAAAAAAAAAAAACCTTTTTTTTGTTCCCGTAAACATTTTTTCCCCAAAAAAACCTTTTTTGTTCCCGTAAAAATTTTTTTCCAAAAAAAAACCTTTTTTTGTTCCCGTAAACATTTTTTCCCAAAAAAAACCTTTTTTTGTTCCCGTAAACATTTTTTTCCAAAAAAAAGCCTTTTTTTTGTTCCCGTAAACATTTTTTTCCAAAAAACCTTTTTGTTCCCAAAAACATTTTTTTTATATATAATTTAAACTTAACATTTTTTTTATAATTTAAACTTAAATTTTTTTAACTAAGTAATTCCATTTTAAAATTAAAACCTTTTTTATATATATAATTAAAATATTAAAAAAATTAAAACCTTTTTTTATAATTAAAATATTAAAAAATTAAAATCTTTTTGTAAGGAACTCCTGATGTTTGATGTTTGTCGTGTCATTTTATGTACCATTTTATTACTTTTCTTTCTTTTGGCATTTCATGTGCATGCTCGAGGTTGAGATGTGCTTGTGGTGGCCACAGCCCCACACTATTTTCCTCCCTCACTTCATTCTAAGTGTCATTACATATTTTCATATTCTTCATGTTTTCAGAAATGTTTCTTTATACCCTCTGCCTTTATTACTTTTCTTATTTCTGTACCTTAATTATTCCTCCATATAATGATTTGTCATATTTTCACATTTTTTTTTACAGTTTTATCCTTCCGAAGGATTAGGTCCAACCTTTTGGCCGCCGAGTCAATAGCCTTACCCCTTTAATGGATCAAACCCTGTTTAGCCTAGGTGTCCCGCCGTGGGCAAAATTGCTTTTATCCTAGTGTTAGGCCAAAAGAGTCGCCGTACTCTGTTTTAAGGTTTTCCGCCGCGGAATCCCTAACCTAACCCTAATGCACTTAACAATTTATAACATAGAGATCGAAGTTTAAGACTCCATGTAAGCGTGTCCTTAAGATGCGTTTATTCCCCTTGAGACCTTGACCACAGTCAAGAAGTCTCTAACCTCCCTTTTGAGGGGAACTACAATTACTCTGATTCCATTCCCGTAAGGATATGTAGGCACAAGATGCGACGTCTTGCCGAGTAAACTTAGAATTAACACCCTAGGTCTTTTAACCCCTAATTCAATGTACATACCCCTTAAAGCAAAAAAATGAAATAAATAGAAAAATAAATAAAAGGTTCCCGTAGAGTACTACGGAAGTTTAGGGTGCTAATACCTTCCCTAATCTTAACCAACCCCCGAACCTTAGATCTCTCCCCTTTAGGTTTTTCCTTTCTTTAACCTTTCCTTCGGATAAATCAAAGACCGGTTGTAAATGAATTAAGATTCAAGTTAATCAATAGCTTGACATCCAAATTTCACCGCAACATGTATGATATAATGATAATGGAGATGTTGTCATGTATGATATTGATGATGAATTGAGTGTGAGAATGTGGTATGTTATTGTGCATGATTGTGGAGATGTTGTACTTTTTTCTCCATTCTATACCTTTTATTATTGAAATGAATTCTCACCCCTTTTGTTTGAATGTTGCGTTTACATGGGCATCGTGAAGATATTTAGGAGTAGCGTTGCTGAAGTATGTGGAAGCCAACTCATGGAGTTGCTTCTTAATTTATTGTTTAATTAGAAGTGTCTTGCTCTGATACCTGATATTAGCGTAGATGCTAGAACAAAAAATGATAAATCTAAGGTGCATAAAGTTGTTGTCAAGATAAAAAAAAGGCAAGTGATATATTAAAGCTCAAATGGTTTCAAAATCCAATTATAGGTCCTGGTTCAAATGCTAACCAACCTATGGATTGACAGAGAATGAAATAGGTACTTTGACATAAGAAACAAAGTGGTTCTCAGAAGTTAAAGAAATCTTGTAACAAGTAGTCAAAGAATTCTTCTAAGTAGTGTTGTGTTTTGAATTAGTGATGACCAATTGTAGTTTTCTGTTTTGAATTAGCTAATGCATTATGCACTTTGTGTGTCATGTTGTAATGACTTATGCACTTTATTTTCCCTTTTGCAATGAATTGTGCACTTTGTGTGCCCTTTTGTAATGAATTATGCATTTTACGTGCTTCTTATTATCAATACAATGTATTTCACTTTAACTCAAATTTCAAATGAATAAATATCAAATATTTCATTACTAAACTTGCAATTTATATAATAAACTTGCAAATCATACAACGTCATTTCATACATCAAATATTACATAATTATTAATACCAAATCCTTAATTGGAGAACACCTAATTAGTGCAAGCATTAAACTACATATTACATAAACTTGTAGATAACGAGAAACATAACCCAAGACATCATAAGTGCAACTATTAAATTATACTTATGTTCTTCTCAATGTGAATCTACTTCTTTGTCTTTTCATACTTTTTTTAACTGACTTGTACCCTATGCTCCTTGCCAAGTTCATTGCCAATGTCCTTCCTGAATTCCCTCAAATAAGCATTAACACATCAAAACTATTGCAACTTGTTTGGATCTTTTGATTTTCATTCCCACCATAAAACTGACCATGCTCAATTTCATCATCCCAGACAAATAGGTCACAACTTTCAACACTCTACACATAAATACAAAAGTTACACACAAAATTGGCCAAAAAAAATGAATACAAGAAACTGAAACCATCTTACCCCAGCGTTTCGACATCTCTAGAATTTTCTATTGAGATTTTTGATTGTGTTTGTGACCTACATCTTTATTACTTGACCACATCCACATCTGCGTAAATTCAAATTCGAACCACTTGAAATGAAAACTCGATGATGTTTTGTTTCTACCCATATTTTTCAAAGGAACGATGAAGAAGATGATGGCAAAAGAAGAGAGGTATCTGTGTAACGAAAATGATAGAATTGAATACTAAAGACGACGTCGCTTTAGGGTTTATGAGAAAACGAGCATGAAACTAATGGAAGTACTAATGGAAGTAAAGGGGGAGGACGATGGTCTGATAAATAAATAAATTAAAATGGAATTGAATATCATACATGTCACCTAAAAATTAAAATGTCATTTAAAATGTAATTGAAAAAAAATGACACCCAGACCATTCAAATACAGCTACATAGAATTATTATAAAATTCTGAGTTAAAATAATCAAAGAAGGAGGCCATACACACATGATCAAAACATTATAAGGGAATTAAAAAAAATCTTATTAAAAGTAAATTGAATCTCTAAAAGATTTAAGATTTATTATTAGGTGAAATGTACATATTGTTCAACAATATGGTAGGATAAATTTTAGGCTTAAGGACACAAACCAACTACAAACCTCAAAAAGAAAAAGATGGAGGCTTAATCATTTTCCAACTAAATAGCCTGTTATTTATGTGATCACTTAGTAAGAGGTTGCATTGTTATTCCTCTTGATAAAGACTTTCATTAATAAGGCATACAATGCAAGAACGGTAGGTTATATAATAATGAAGCCAACATTTTCGGCAAAAAGTTAGTTGAAGAAACATTGTCAATTGCAAATATGAATAACCTATGTTAGCTCTTCATCTATTAATAGCTTAATCCAACCACCACCATCTCTCTCATCTCACACTCATCTAACTGCATTTTCATCTATATATTCCATATACCCCCCTTCAAGTTTCTTGCCTTTCATCTTGTAACTCTAACTAACTAGGAACATGGATGCAGCCACATTCGCGGCGGAGTTCACTAGCACGGTTGAGGCCGGGAGGTTGTTCAAGGCTTTGATCCTTGATGCACCAAACCTCATCCCCAAGCTTTTGCCGGCGATTAAGAATATTCAACTTGTTGAAGGCACTGGAGGACCCGGAAGCATTCAAGAAATAACCATTGTTGAAGGTTACTTCCAACATTTTCAATTGTCAGTCTGTTTCAGTGTAGATTAGTCATAGTTTAATTATGGAAAAATAAATAGAGGATTTATTTAACTATTATTTAACAATTATAAATAAAAAGAGACTCTATTTAACCACAAATTAAATATAACAAATTTATGAGGCCATATTTAACTGCAATTTAAAACCATACTCGTTAGTTTGTTATGGTTGGAATCAATTTTCTACCTTCATTGCAGGTACTAACATCAAACATGTGAAGCATAGAATTGATGGAGTAGACGAAGAGAATTTGATATATAATTATTCAGTGATCGATGGCGATGGTAAGCCGGAAATTCTCGAATTGGTTTCACATGAGGTGAAGATTGAACCAAGTAAAGAGGGTGGTTGCAAGATCAAGAATGTTAGCAAGTATCATCCCAAAAAAGGAGTTGAGATCAAAGAAGAGGATTTGAAGGCTGTTAGGGAGGAAGAGTTGGTTGTTCTCAAGGTAGTTGATGCATATCTTGTTGCAAACCCTGAAGCCTATGCTTGAAGAGATCTTATGAGATAGCTTTGCATAATTACATTATATTATTATGGTTATGATGTACTTTAAGTTTAGTAAGCTATAGTTTATTATGAAGCCAAGTATGATTTGGCTAATAATAAGACTTAATTGTGTGTTTGAGCTTATTGGGGTTGACTAGTTAAGGGACCATAAGATTTATTATTGCATGTTTGTGTTGATAAACATTTGATAAATACAATTTCGAATAAAATTGATTTTGCGCATTGATTTGAAATAAAGGGATTTGTGTATGCATTTGTTTACTCTAAAAAAGTTTAGGGTTAAAATTAGAGTATTTTTTCTACTAGATATTTTTAAAAATTCAGTAAAAATATATATTTTTTATGAATATTTTAAAATGATTGGTAAAACTCCATATTTTCAACTTGGTATTTTAAAAAATGGTAAAAATATATGCAATGACATTGGATTTTTGAAAAAATCGATAAAATGCAAGCAATTATTATATCCGTGTTTTTGAAAAAACTGATAATGAAAAAATGTTGTTTAAGTTAATCGAAAATTTTACAAAATCTGAGAAAACCATTAAAATTTTTGGATTTAAAAAAAATCCAGTAGTTCCAATTGCATAGTTCTTTTGTTGTATATGTAGTGAGTATTAGAGGATGTGATGATGCAATTGATTCTAGACAACATAATAGAGTTGCAGTTGCTGCAGTAAGGGCTCATGCGAGAAGAGATGACATTGATGACTCACATATCCATGCGGAAAGAGTAACATAGATCGATTCTCACAAGAGGCGAATGATGGCCAAGCAATTTTGTGCACCTCGTAATATCCGACGTAAAGGATCTAGAGTTGATGGATGGACCAAAGATCATAATGATGAGGCATTTGTTGTGGTAGTTAAAGATGTAGATAGCAATATATTATTCGGTGTTGGACAACATATTATTCAATTTGGATTTCAAAAGAGCGAGACATGTGGTGTCCTCTGGGAGTCCAAAATCAACGGGAGTTGAAATGCACACATGCCATAAACGAATAGTGAAACATTTTAAGCTACTATTTTTAGCAACACAGGATTCTTATTTATACAAGTTTGGATTCATTTTGGATCACACACAACTGTCATTGCAATTATAAACATACAAAACTGTCAACAAAATCTTAACCGTTGACATTGCAATAATAAACGTACAAAACTGTCAACAAAATCTTAACCGTTGATATTACACTACTAGATTTTTGCAATTCCTCTAAAAATCTGATAAATACAAGAGATTTTTTTAATTAAAATTAAAAAACCAATAATTTAACACTATCAAATTTTTTAAGGTTTTGTAAAAAAAAAAAATGTACAACATGGTGTTTTTTAAAAAGTCGGTTAGTTTTTTTGCACATCAATTTTGTTTTTTTAAAAATCAGTATAAATGCATATTGGACATTTAACGCACCTTACTAGATTTTTTGATTTGTACTAGCATCTTTATTTGTTCTACCAAAATTTTCCTTCGCACTTTTCAATTAAAATTTTGTGAAAGTTAATATGGGCAATTGGGCATTATCAAATTTTCAAGTTTTTGCAAAAAAATTTGATACAAATAGTATTTTTTTTAAAAGTCAACAAATTTTTTTACACATGATTTTTTTAAAATCGGCATAAATGCATATCAAACTTTTGACATACACTACCAAATTTTTTGATTTATACTGGAATTTTTATTTGTCCTACCGAATTTGTTAGTGCACACTTTTTAACTAAATTTTTTCAAAAATAATATGGATATTCTCAAAAATTAAAGGAATGTCGGATTAAATTTGGGAGGATGAGATGAAATTTTTTCAGAAACAATGTGTTCGCATATCCGTTTGGGGCACATTACATACTTTTGCATTAAATTTTATAAACACCTCTACAATTTAATAACAGATCCTATAATTTGTAAGAAAATACTATTAAACCTTTTAAATTTTAAAATAAAAAAAATAACAACTAATTATTTCATTTTTTTTTAATTTTTCTTATAATTAACATAAATATGTAGTAAAATGGTAAATATTGAAAAATAAAGATAACAAGTAATTTTTTAAATATATTTTTTCTTGCAAATTGATTTTTGCATTTTTTTTAAAATTGTCATTCATATATAAACTTTTTTTACGCGCCATAATAGATACAATTTCATTCATTTTTGTAAAATTTCACCTCTTTAATCTTACTAATAAAGACGTTGGAATGTTAACCTAACGGACATATCCTTATTTCATTGTATCGAAGAGCATTGCCACATTAGAGATTTTTGCATCGACACATCAACAATCTTCTATTCCACATCACAATAGTGACATTGTCTATGGGAACGACTTATTATTTTTCATGAAATTTTCTGCCGTCAAATCCTTTTCGTTGCATCATTGCAACCACTTTTGTTAGTTGATCAAACCACCATTAAGTTAGTTGATGAAATCACCATTAAGTTTTTCAATTGAAATCATCACGAGTATTTACAATTTGGTGCAACAACATAATTCACACCTCCATGCCGATAAGTTTTTATGAGTAGAATAAAATTAGCAAGTAACTATGTCGTGAGATCATACACAACGGGAGGTAATACATCACAATAATCTTGGAGGCATGCCTCATGCAACTCTTAATGCCGCCTCAGACTGTCTTCCCCACAATCATCAATTTCTTTCTTATGGTTCTAGAGGCGGAGATGCTAGGCATACACCTCCCAAGGATAGTCATCGTAGGGTTTTCCATTGCATCAAGAGCTAAACATTCTAAAAAAAAAAAAGATTTATGTGTGCATGTATTTACTCTAAAAGTAAGTTTAAGATTAAAATTAGTGTAATTTTTTAACCTAAAGGTAAGTCTAATGATTTGGACCAAGAAGTGGAAGTGGTGAAACAATGGGTTCACATATTGTTTGGGCCATATTACATTATTTTCAAATAAAATATTATAGCTTAAATTATAATTTTAGTTCCTTAATGGTATCTAATTCACGAAATTAGTACTCCTGTTTTAAATTCAAATAATTTTGATTATTCTTTCACGCTTTTCATAAAATTAAATTGATAAAGTTGAAGATAAAGTTAAAACTAAATGAATAATGTCAATGATTTATTTGGTATCAAATTTAAATTGAAGAACAAATTTAACTAATACTTTATAGGTACTTTTTCAACAATAACTCGCATTCTCTTCATTCTCTTAATGATTAAGACGTTAAAATATTAATTTTATAGTTTCACTCTACACGGCCGCACTAAAGATCTACTCTACCACATTAAAACCCTACATCATTTCACAAAACATTTCTCGTTCTCTATGCGAAAACTTTACATTTTCAATTTCCAATAACCATTATAAAATATTAATAACAGGAAGAACTAATTAAGTTGACATAATTCTAGGAAATTTGAATGTTTACCTTGTGATTGTGAAGTGATTCAAATTTCAAACTATACAAGTGGTAGATAAAGAACATGTTTAGTATGTACAATTAAAATGTTTGATTAATACAATTTAATAATGACTTGATTCAACCAACAGCCGCCCATGGGATTTCTAAGTCTGATTAATACAAATACATTAGGATATACAAAATGTAAAACTCAACCATAAGTTTGATTAATTCAATTATTTGAATATATGAAATTAAAATCTCATCCAACAGCCACTAATATTGAACATCTTCAAATAAAAAATTCCTTTTCTTAACTACCAAAGATATGTCCATTTTCCATAGCCGCAAACTAAAATATTTTCTGTGTCCATCAAAATAGATACTAATATATAGCTATAAAAAGTGCTCTATCTCATAATTCAAATTATTCAATATCCAACATTCATAAACTTGATTTGTTTTTGTAATTTCTGTAATATATACACTTTTCATCATGGTAGTTTCAACCTTCACACATGATTATTCATCCCCTATTGCTCCATCACGCATGTTCAAGGCTTTAATCACAGACTCTAGCAATTTGCTTCCAAAACTCTTACCTCACTTTATAAAAGATGTCAACATAATCCAAGGAAATGGTGAAGCTGGAAGCATTGAACAAGTTAACTTTGCTGATGGTTAGCAAAAAATAACACTTTAAGGGAAACTAAATTTTTTTTACACTAAATTGCTTGAATAACTTCTCATGTGTTTAATTTGATGCAGCTAGTCCTTTCAAATACCTAAAAAATAGGATTGATAAGATTGATAGTGAGAACTTGGTATGCAACTACACAATGATCGAAGGAGATCCATTAGGTGACAAGCTTGAGTCAATAGCTTATGAGGTTAAGTTTGAGGCCATTAATGATGGAGGTTGTCTTTGTAAGATGACCAGCAAATACAATGCTGTTGGAGAGTTTGAAGTCAAAGAGGAAGAGATCAAGGAAGGAAGGGAAAGCTCTATTGGAATTTGCAAAGTTGTTGAAGCCTATTTGCTTGAGAATCCACAAGTCTATGTTTGATTAGTTATTTTTAACTCATTTGTTTTAATTTTGGCAAGTATATATATATATATATATATATATATATATATATATATATATATATATATATATATATATATATATATATATATATATATATATATATATATATATATATATATATATATATATATATATATATATATATATATATATATATATATATATATATATATATATATATATATATATATATATATATATATATATATATATATATATATATATATATATATATATATATATATATATATATATATATAATCTTATTTAAAGATGAAATACAAATTTTATTCAATTTTTCAAATGTTAGCATGGAGTGTCCACCCAAACATAGGGACAATATGAATTTGTAAGTGTTGAAGTTCTTAAGAAAGTTCCAAGATATCAAGGGCATTATTTGTTGTTTGGTAAAATATTTGTATTTGTTAAATAATTTTTTTTATTTATAAATATTTGTATTTGTACAATTTAATATTTTTGAAACGTACTCTCTCCGTCTTATAAAAAGTGTCTCGTTTGCACTTTTTTTATGTCTGAAAACAAATGTCCTTTTAAAATTAATATAAAATTTATTATTCACTCTATCTCATAAAAAATGTTATATTTGAACAATGCACGGTTCTTAAGAAAATGATTAGATGAGTTGGTTTTAGTCAAAAAAATTAATGTCATTTACTAGAATACCCCTATTAAATGTTAATAAAGTATATGAATAAAGTGAAAGCTAATAAATAGGTGTAAGTAGTGGAAAAATAATAATAAATGCTACCCGATAATTGAAATGGCCAATTATTTTGAGACAAAGAAAAAGTGTAAATGAAACACTTTTTATGAGACAAAAGTATTTTTTTTACTACTATATCTTTATTTATTTATTTATTAACTTCTGCTCTTTTCAACAACTTCACTAACTATAATAAATAAGGGTATTTTAATAAATGGTCTTGCTAACTAGTGCCCTCAGGGCACTATTTAAAAATTCCATATTAAGAAATTATTCTTTAAAAAATTCAAACACTTCAATTTCCAATGCACATTATTACACATTATTGCACATACTTTTATAAAAAATTTACTATTTAAAGTTTTAAAAAGTGTCATGAGGGCACTGGTTATCATTTCCCTTTAATAAATGATAATAATTTTATCATTAAAATCAACACATCTAATATTTTTTTTAAACTGTGCAGAACTCAAATAAAACACATATTATAAGGCGGTGGGAGTAACATTGTTGACTTTCTTTTAATTCAAATTAACTTTTGAATGTTTTTAGTTAGTTGATTGTGGTGGTTGGCATATGTTAATTTTTGGTTATATCCGATGTGGGACTTCCATAACTTATATGTATATCCGATGTGGAACTCCACATCCGTAACTTATATGTATATCACGCCCCTTTGATCAATAAATGTTATATTCACTCAAAATTATTCTCTCTATTAATTTTTCATTGTTTTGTATTAACAAATTGGTATCCAAAAGTTCAGTTCAATTTGTGATAAAGAATAGAAATTGAATGTATGATGGAGAACAACAAATTTTCATAAAATCTACCATCAAGAATTGAGACATATGGTGCAAGTAGATGAAGGTAATATTAAATATTCAATATGTGAATGAATATGTGATGAAGGCCTTCATCATTTGGTTGAAAATTTAACATAAACTTTGTGTGCAATTTTTCAAAAAATAAAAAAGAAAGATAAAAAATTGTTCAATATACATCAAAGTGTTAACACAAAGATATTTTACAAAATATCATAATCAACATCTTCAAAGAAGGTTTGGGACATGTTTGATAAATGTCATGGTGGTGATGAAAAATTCAAGAAAGTGAGACTTCAATCATTGAAAAGACAATATGAAATGTCATAGATAAAAGAAATTGAATTGGTTGTAGACTATTTCTCAACATCACTAACTTTGAACACTCAAATGGAACCTAATAAAAATAGGTAATGATTCATAAGATTTTGAGAACTATTACTCCCCAATATGTCATTGTAGTGATAGTTGATGAAATTCTGGCACATAATGGACAAATGTCGGATATGATGTCAGGACGTCGTAACAGCAGAATTAACACAAGAACAATTTACAGAAAAATTGCAGAAATTTAAATAACACACAGTAGTTATTAACTCAGTTCGATGCAACATCACCTACATCTGAGGGCTACCAAGCCAGGAAGGAAATTTACAATAAGTAGTATCAATTCGAAGCTAAACAATCCCAATTTACAACTCCTCACTTAATCCCTACCTATTGCAACTTTTACCTAGAAACTCCTAGATATGAGAACCCTTCTCACTCCCAAATCACCTCAGTGATATTAAACAATCACAATCCCGGTGACTGTATACAAAACACTTAAACAAAACACTTAAACAAAACAGAAGATCACATTTTCAAAACAATATTCGGTTTTGCTTAAAACTTTCAACCAAGAACAATACACTCCTGCTTAAAAGCTTTAGAGTAGACAATAAACAATTAACACAATCCTACTCAGATGTCAAAAGACATAAGAGAGGAACACAAAGAACAACAAAAACATAGAAACATCCTCACACCAAAAATATGGAACACACCCTTTCTAGGTTAAAAGCATTTCTTATAAATAGCCTTTAAAAACATGAGATTAGGCTTAAAAACCGCAACAGACCCAAAACAGCAGCTGCAAATATTCTGCACAAAAAAATGAACTAAATATAAAGTTTCCTAAAAAGGCTTCATGACCCTTTTTATGAAAAACAATCAAATATGGCAAAACAGAAGTTCCCACAATATCTTCCCATGAAAAACGCACATGTGTGAATTAGAACACACTAAAAAAACACCCTAAAAATACCATAATCGTCATGCCCTAACTTTCTTGTATAACATGTCCTGGAAAATGCCACAAGCATGCTAGACATGATGTCTGACTGTCATGATAGAACATCTGATTCAACATCTTGCTAACAATATGTTGTTTTACCAAAGTGTAGCTAATTCAAAAATCACAGAACTTACAATCTCCCCCTTTGGCAAATATTGGCTAAAACAACCTTAGCACACATCAGAGGCACACACAGCGAAAAAAACTTAAACAAAGAAATAACAAGAACCACAACCACAAACACAACATTGTCAAGGCAATAGTGCATACCAAACAAAACAATATCAATACATCTAATCTTACATTACAGATCAACCAAAACAACACAAGTCACACGCGAACATGTAAGCTTTGTAAGCAACAATAGATCAGACAGGTTCATAACTCCCCCTGCCCCACATAGACAAAACTCCCCCTCAAGGGGAAAACCAAAATCAAAAGAAAAGAAACAAATATGAACTATCCAAGTTCACACATCCCTTTCAAGGGAAAACCAAAAAACACAGGAAAAACACGAGCAACATAAACACAACAAACAACACCAAACAACAACATCAACTAACTCCCCATGAATTATATAGATTAGCAAAAGCACAACTACCAAAAAATTCAAGACATCTAGTCTGACATCACAGAACAGTCAGAAACAACATATAACTAGTAGCAGAACTCCCCCTCAAGACCCCATCATTCTGCAGTGAAAATAAATTCTTCCAGACACAACAAATGGAATGATGTTAGAACATATGGCTCCATATCAGTAGTAGTAGCAAGCATGACAATTATCATGTTCACCCTAAATAGTTACATACAGATAAGCAACAATAATGAAAAACTAATCTTCCTAAGTAGTAGTATAAGCATGACATAAAATCATGACATCTGATCTAACATCAGAAACAACAAACCAATCAACACTTTACTCCCCATTTTTAGCCAAGAATTGAAAAATAGAAAATAAAGTAAATAAAAATAAAAATAAATGGAAGCACAAATACTACTACTCCCCCTTTTTAGCAAGAATATTGACAAACCAAATAGACATTCATCAAAGCAGAAGAAAGGTATATCAAAATCAGAAGCAACAATCTTCTACCAAGAAAACATACTAAGCACACTACTACACCAGTAATCTAAACCATCTAGATTGAGCATGTCAATAGAATGATCCTTCTTCACACCACCATTCTCTTCTTTATCTTCTTTTCCAGATAGATCTTTCTCCTCTTTAGTAGACATACTATTATTATCAGAATCATCTCTTTTACTACCAACAATATGAATTTGTAAGTGTTGAAGTTCTTAAGAAGTCCCAAGATATCAAGGGCATTATTTGTTGTTTGGTAAAATAGCATTTTTTTAAAAAATATTTGTATTTGTACAATTTAATATTTTTGAAACATACTCTCTCCGTCTTATAAAAAGTGTCTCGTTTGTATTTTTTTTTATGTCTGAAAACAAATGTCTTTTTAAAATACTAATACAAAATTTATTACTCACTCTATCTCATAAAAAATGTCATATTTGAACAATGCACAGTTTTTAAAAAAATGATTAGATAAGTTGGTTTTAGTGAAAAAAATTAATATCATTTACTAGAATACCCCTATTAAATGTAGTTAATAAATTATATGAATAAATTAAAAGCTAATGAATAGAAGTAAGTAGTGGAAAAATAATAATAAATGTTACCTTGGTAATTAAAATGGACAATTATTTTGAGACAAAGAAAAAGTGCAAATAAGATACTTTTTATGAGACAAATAGAGTATTTTTTTTACTACTATATCTTTATTTATTAACTTACAATCTTTTCAACAACTCTCCTAACTATAATAAATAAAAATATTTTAATAAATGATAATAATTTTATTATTAAAATTAACACATTTAATATTTTTTTAAATTGTGTAGAACTCAAATAAAACACTTATTATAAGAAGACGGAGGGAGTAATATTATTGACTTTCTTTTAATTCAAATTAAATGTTGAATGTTAGTTAGTTGATTGTGGTACTTAGCATTTTTGGTTATATCCGATGTGGGACTTCATAACTTATATGTATATCCGATGTGGAACTTCCGTAAGTTA